AAACTCAGGCATGAACCTTGGACCTCAAGGTTAAAAAGAGGCTGCCCATCACTATGTTAAGAACGTTCTTCTTTCCTATTACCTGAACGAATATATTTTAATATCAACATACTTATCAATATAGGAATAAGAAAAATATTTTCATTATCTTGACCTTTGAACACATACAAAAACAATAATTATTTGATTATCAAATAACTACTTTGACCAGCACTTCTAAAATTGGTTACATTTATTCCTCAAATTTCTAGTTAAATATCATTTCGTCAGAATTTTATTCTCTTGAGTAAAGAAACACACTTTGTTCAAGAGAATAAATTTTTTTTACGACTGCACTGCACTGATCGAAAAAAATCAACAGAAGCTCTGACCAACACTCACAATAAGGGGTGAGGACTACATTTTTGTGGAATTGTCTATTTATGTGGGACCCATGACTTATGAGAGGCTATCAAAGCCTTTGTCACTCATTTTTCGGCCAGAGAGGCTTTGTTCTCTTATAAGTGTGCTTGATTTATTTGACAGCACTTCTTTGCTTCTAATAAATATACTACTAATATTTAATGAAAATTAGAGAAGTGCTATAGTGATAGGGCCTTTGGACACGCCCAGGTGACAGAGCCGAGGTGCCATCTTGGCCCTTGGTCTGATTTTCATTTTTAAAACACTGACAATTATTACATGATACAATGAAAGTAAAATCATAGAGTTTGCTGTAGTTTTAATTATAGATGATCTTATTAATGAGTAAAAATAATTGTCGTGTCCCCAGGTCAAGACATCAGTGACAGCCGGGAAGTACACCCGACACCTCCCCCAAGTGGTGCGCCTGCGTCCCCAAAATCGTTGCCAATAGTTGAACAACAAAGCCCCTCCAAAACCCTCGGCGGCATCCCCACTTCTTGTGCGTCATCATTATGGTATTTCAAGTCTGCTGCTGTTCTTATGGGCAATATGCGTAATTTAACCAATAAGCTTTACTAAGTTTGTCTAGTCGTATATATCTGTCTATCGAGCTCTATCCTGTCATCGTATCTAAATCAGGTTAATAGTATTTGGTCTGTCAAAAATTCGTTACACTTGATGTTCGATGGTTTTCTATAGCGAAGTCTCGTGTGAACTGCCATTGATAATTTTATCAACATTTTGTCTTCACGCGGATGTGGGAAACGGATTTTGGAAGATCAAAAGTAGCATATATAAAGGCCTTGTGCTGAAAAGAGAAAAGGAAAATTGCTCGATGGATTAGGACCAGAATTTTGTCTATTGCACATAAGTGAGGTCCATAAATTGTTCAACTGATAGGGCAGAATCTCTTGGAAGCTAAGTTATGATAGTGCAGTGATATGAATCATGGGCTCATTTGTCAGGTTTAATTTTGCTTTTGTTTCTTGTAGAAGAGTTTCCCGTGAAAGTTACTTTAGATCAATTTCCTCTAAAAACTCTTTTAACCCAACAAACACTTTCAGAAAATTATCTAAATATGTTCAAAAACGAATTTTCAGTTTTAGAAGTAGCTTTTAATATTTTAAAAGTCCTGTCAAATGGACCCAAAGTCTTGAGCATTTTAAGGTTGTGGCTGATAATGATTCTTTTTCTTTTGAAGAAAAAAGGAACTTGATTCCCACACATGTATGATGTATAGGGGAGTCAATTATATAGGCTTATGAAATATCTCTGCGAAAAGAAGGCTGCATGTTCATGTTCCTAAACTATTAACATACATATGCATTATCCAATATGTAAATGAGGATGTAAAGAAGACTTAGTGGGCATGTCAAATTGGGTAACATAAGAAATGAGAACATACTCTAAGTGAAGGTTACGTTGATTGAGGATAAATTTGAAAAATGATGAGTCAATTGGTCGAGACAGTTTTACGTAAACATAAAGTGATATTGTATGTAAGAATGATACAATCTCATTAAGGAATAGAAACTAAAAAGAGAGAACTAATGCCGAATTTTATAGTTAAGTATATCAAGATCAGAATGATAAATAAAGATTATATAGTCAGCTTTTTACTTATTCCGAATTTAAGATGTGATTTTGTAGTACTTAATTTGTTGTTGTAATTGTCTAGAAGACTAATTTTGTATGGAGCCATTAGGATATATATTCCTATGAGTATTTTAGAACGTGTGCTTTGAACCTCATGGATAAAGGCTACAGGGCCATTCTATGTGTATCAGTGTGTGTGCAAATTGTTGGTCTACAAAATGAATCTCCTTTTGAAATATTCCAGCCTTCATCGATTGAGACACGAATCCTTCTTTTTATCATCTTCCTTTTGGTTTCTACTTTCCTCTTCTATTATTCATATTTTAAGATATAAAATCGAAGCAAAGAGAAATTGGATAAGGTTTTATACATATTGAATTGTTGCTCGTATTTCTTGTTATGGCCATATTATTATTAGTGTTAAAGATGGTTCGATGTTGATGAGTTTTGTTCAACTTTCAAATCAAACCATTTAGAAACAGTTTGAAAATCATTTCACTATCTAAATCAAAACATATTTTGTGGTTCAATTTGGTTCGGTTTTTAATCACAGTTTACCAAAAGAAATAAAACTAACAAATATTTTATTTTTAGATTTATTTGTTTAATAAGCATTTATTAGTTTTCCATCATTTTTTAAATGTAAATAATGTAAAATACAAATAGATAGTTGTTGCTTTATGTTTAATTACCGTATTCTCATGTGAATTGCCATAAATTACTTTACTGATGTTTTCTTTTCAAGTCGATGAGCACATGGATTTTGGAAGATCTAATATTGTATGTATATAATCGACTTTAGGACTTTTTTTAATGATTACTTTGATTATTTAGAAGACAAATTTCTTGTGGAGCCATTTGGATATTCTATTTGTAGTTTTAAATGTATAGAATGAACTACTATATAAATGGTATAAATTAGTATTCTAAAAAACGTAAAGTGTGATTAGATGACAAGACTAATCTTCAATTCTAGACGAGCTTATTAGAACAATGATATTGGGCAATTATATGCGAATGTGAAAAGTACGAGTGTTGGTCTACGAAATGAATCTCCTTTTAAATATATTCCAGCCTTCATCAATTGAGGCACGAATCCTTCTTTTTATTATCTGCTTTTTAGCTTTCTGTTTTCTGTGACAGAGACAGCATTAATTTTTGGAAAAACTGCAATGCAATACATCCAAATGTCTGGCGTTTGAACAAAATAATTGTATCAAACAGTTTAATTCAATGTTTTCTGGGGCCATTGGTGGATTGTGGAAGATGGGAACTTTCTCTTTTATCGAAAATTCTGAAAGTTATTTATCAACGAGTGTGTATCGTTCTCCTTCACTCGTGTCTCAAGTACAAACACACAAATTGTTTGTGAAGGCGTAGCGAACACAAAATTTTTTGTAATGAGAAAATTAAAAATTAAAAATTAAAAATTATGATGAGAAAAAAGAATACCAGATTAATTTTAAAAAAATACAGACCTTCTCAAGATAACATTGGCATTTCGAAGAATAGTTACCTCCCAAATACAAACAATAGGTTTGTAAAAATAATTCACTCCACATATTCTCCATTGACTTGACACTTCAAACAGAGCATGTAGAGATCGAACCATCGAATCTAAGAAATTGGTCAAATTATAATTATAATCACATATAATGAGATTCACAAATTTTATCAATTTTTAATCATATATTATCATCAAACCTTACGATGAGTATATCGATAAGTGACATACAAGAAAAATAATGAATCCCACGAGAAGGTGTTCAACATGAGAAACTTGATCATTTGACTAATATTATTTTAGGTTGTTGGTTTGGTGCTAATCGCTCAACAAAAAAGGTACAACGTTATTAACATGATCAAGAATTTATTGACATCAATTTTATCAAACTTCACAATTTGAGTAATTCCCAACTATTGATTTAAGTCAAACTTTGCTTTTCTTAAGACAGGAATTAAGCTGGACCAATTAATCAGCATAATAATTACTAAAAAAAATGCTGGTTCGAACAAGACTAAAAGAGAGACATTTCCATGTCTTATTTAATTTTACTGCTTTTCCTTATTTCTCAAAGAGTGGGGTATCATATTCGAAACTTTTCTATCTCAACTAGCATCAAAATCACACTAGTAATCGTTCATCTTTCCTAGGACTAATTTCTTCATGGAGATCGAATTTTCAACCCGTGTCTTATTTTATTTTACGTATAGTGCATGCAAATATTACGGATATGATCGCTTAAGATGAAACCAAAGTCAACATCAACAAAGGTTTATTCCAAAGAAAATTTGATAAAATGTAATAATATTTATGCTTATACTTTTTAAATTGTATTATAAAATAATAATGGGGTAACAAGTCTCCAAAATTGTAAAAAATATTCACCCTCTTGATTGCTGCCACCTGTCTAAGAAGCCATGTTATGAGGCCATGATTTATTCTTTATGACTCTCTTCTTTTCCACACTCCCACCGCCCCAAACAACCAAAGTCCAAACTATTCAAAAATGGACAACATGTAAACATCAGCCCTTTAATTTCTCACAGTTTTGCAAGTTATTAACTGATCCATTAGAAACTTTACTTCCAAGTGGACACTCTATGTACTCTAGATCAATAAAACTTGCTACGTGTCACAAGGATCTCCCGCAACGTGGCAGCAAATTGACGTTATCCGAATCTATATCAAGAATCATGCAACCATTTTTTTTTTTTTTTGGGTCAAAAACCTTCCGTGTTCCCTAAGTATGAAATTCTCATGACAAATTTAAACTTCGAAAAAGGGTTTTTGGATCAAGAAACACTCATAAATAGAGAATTTGTTATGGATTTTTTCATCTAATATTGATAGACAGTTTGCATTTAAGTTTGTAACACTATATACGTAATTAAGAAGAGAATTAATCCAACAAGTTAAGAAGAGGTTCTTGGTGTTTCTAGGTTTACTTTACTACCCCACTCCATTATTTGCAGCTTGTTCTCTTTGATATTTTTCATTCCTACAATATATACATACGCGTGTGCACATAAACGTGTGTGTGTGTGTCTATATAAATATATACTTGCAGTCCTTCAAGACAACACAGAGAAAATAAAAAAAGAATAGAGCTGCTTATAGTAGTAGTCTTTTTCTTCAATTTTAGAGAAAGAAGAGAGTAGGGTTTTGTTTGTTATCTTATTTGAACAAATTTATTTTAATTCAGACAAAACAAGAAGCAAATGGGGGTTTCAGGCACTATGGAGTTCTTGTCTGATCTGCTTAGCAGTGCTAAAAAGGGCAAGAAAAAGAAGCAGATGAACACTGTGGATCTCAAAGTCAGAATGGATTGCGAAGGGTGTGCTCGTAAAGTCAAGAAGACACTCTATGAAGTAAAAGGTAACAATTATCATATTTTTCTTCATGTCTAATTCTCACAGTTAGGTACGGTGGACTCTCAATCTCATCCATTATATTGTCCAACCGGGAATTAATATTGCAGGGGCAAAATCTGTGGAGATCGACTTGAAGAACCAGAAGGCATCAGTAACTGGTTTTGTTGATCCAAAGAAGGTGTTGAAGAAGGCTAAAGCAACTGGCAAAAAATCTGAGCCATGGCCATATGTACCATACACGATGATAGCTCACCCTTATGTTGCTGGAGTTTATGACAAAAAGGCACCTCCAAATTATGTTAGAGGCACTAATGATCCAGCAGTTGCCACTCTTAATCCAGTTGAAGAACAATATACACTTATGTTTAGTGATGATAATCCAAATGCATGCTCTATTATGTAATAGAGATTAAGCCAGGTATTAATGACCTTAATCTTCCTTTTTTTTGGTTAATTTCTTGTGACTCGGTAAAAAAAATTCAAAGAGATGAAATATATATATAAAAAGGTCTTACTTTTATATCAATGTCAAACCGACTCGATGGTCCGACAAATTTCCCATGGATGTATACAGTAGATGCGAAATTGTTTGGAACTTTGATTAGATTTAAATGCTTCATGGTACAAAAATTTAGTTAAGTCCATGTACGGTAGAGATTAAAAGTTGAGAAAACCTTCATATTAGAGAGTCAACTATTAAAATTATGCTTTAAAAGATTTTTTTAATTAATATTTTAAAATGGAAAGTCAGTTTGATTCTCCAAATTTAAAGAGTATCTTGAATGATCTCACAAAGGATGTTTTCTAAGAGTAGAAAAACCTCTATAATAACCATCACGTGCATATCATTCTCTTTGATCGTGTCTTTGATGCCTTTTTATAAAGTCATACCAAGAGCCAGTGCTTGTTATCTAAGAATTGTTTCATGAATTTCATTGGAAATGTTTGATTTGGTGACCATAAAGTCATCGGATAAATTACCAAGTAAATCTGAACGCAACTAATAATGCTCCCCAGAGATATGGACTTGACCTACTTCTACTAGGGGTACCATAGCGTGTTAGGAATAAGGAGAACATACTGGACATAACTGCTCCCTTTCGATATATTTCATCAATTACAATCAAAATATATTAAAATTTTGATTTTAATCAACAAAAAACATAGGTTAAATTTTTTTGCTTATTGAGTGGGTGAAGTGGTGCTTTGATATGAAAAGAGGAGAGAGAAGATTTGTTCCAAGTTATCATCATTTGTGAAGAATTGTTTCGCTTGTAAATTAGGTTTCTTTTAGGGACAATTTCATTTGAAATTTACGATTTTGACCATTATTGAAATTTTTTTACATCATTTTCAAAAGAATATTGCTATTTATCATCATTGATGTTAAGCATCAGTATAGGTGACAACTACATTGTATTAAATGATAGATTTATTTAAATGCAATGTCAAATTATTTATTTAATTGAACTTATAAAATGTAGCTATATAAACTAGGGCTACATAACATTATTATTTTTAAAATGATACACATGTATTGTAACATTTTTATTTTTTTTTGGGGTAATTTTCACCAAAAAATATAATACTTATGTTAAAAAAAAGAATTGAACAGTAAATTGAGAAATATAAAAAAGTAAGATAGTAATGAGAAAATAATAAGTAGACTTCGACTTTATGGGTAGATTTACAGATGGCAATGGGACGAACTGCGTCAACTTGACTCTTACAATCGCGAGCTCGGCTCGGGCTGAAAATTTGGGCTTGACTTGATCCTAAGCTCGTCAATCTCATGAGCCGAGAGTCGTCCAATTTTTTTTCCCAAAATAAATTAACAAATAAGTTTAAAAGTGAGCAATTTTTTTTTTTTAGAAAATAATAAAATAAATCCAAAAATGAGACAAAAAATAAACAGATTCACGAGTCCATAGCTCATGGACAAGAGCTCAAGCAAGTCGGCTTGGCTCGTGAAAAATAATGTGAGCTCGGCTCGGTCTATACACACGAGTTCATGGATCGATTCGAAATGAGACGAAAGGAGCCGACAAACGACCCATTTGCTGCGCCTAGTAGATATCTGAATTTTGTTCTTCGTCTACATTTAATGGGCCCAATTGTTGAATTCGGGTCAAGGTTGACAGGCCCTTAAGCCCGTTAATATTTCATCGGTCTTAAGATGAAGAAGACTAAATTTTATTGAATGAACTTCTCAAATTAAAGAATGTATTACGCATGTTTATAAATACAGATCTAAGCAAAGAGAAATTGAGCTGACTAACTGAATAATATTCACAACCAATACAATGATGACACATGTAACCAACTGCCCAGACTAACTAAATTGAGCTGCAGCGCAAATGCTACCGTGAGCTGGGGCTGAATTGAGGTGCTGGAGCAGTGAGTTGGAAAACTTGGAATTGAGCTCTATTCTTTACTTGGGGATTACTCCCTTGCACGAGTTTCACTTTCATCCAAACCTTTGGCGGGAAAGTAATGGCTCTCACCGGCGTTGTGCTTTCTCCTCCACCACTCGTGGCCATCATCTTCACAAGCCACCATGTCGTCCATCTTCCCCAAACTTTCAATACTAATGCACAATAAACACTCTATCCGTTTCTCTTCCTTCTCCAAACCCACCAGCTCCACACTCCAGGTTACCCCGAAAGCTGCTAAATGTATTCACTACTTCCTATCTTCAGTTATTTTGCAACATAAACACACACAAAAACGATTGAAACTTTAGAACCATCACATTAGAATGTGAATTTTGAAAATTATATCATTTTCTTTTCTGGAAAAAATAATCGGATACATAGATGAGAGGTTTGGGACTAGTTAGATCTGCTGAATAAGTTGTGAATTCCAGCACAAATGAGCCCGTTGTGACTTCAGGCATAGTCCATTTATCTGGTCCATCTGAGTAGTCTGCTTCGACTTTTGAATAAGAGAAGGCATGACTCGAAGCCAATTAGCCCTGTCGTGGAGTATGGTGTGGTAGTGGATTCTCATGAGAATGTTGTTGATGAGGTACTATAGATATGAATTTGGGTTTTGTTGTGATTTTTTCTTCCACTATTAAATGAACTTTGTGCATAGAGAAAATGAACGAGGAAGAATAGTGGACCACCCATTTTAAGGTTTTTGTTGTCTAGAAGTATCAACTTTTGATGTATTAGAGAAAAAAATTGTACAGACTACAGTTTATCAAAAGGAATGCATTTCAGACATTTCCTCAAATAAATTTATTTCTCTGAATAGTTTGCAAGAATGATGCTGAACTTCTTTTATATTGCATGTTTTGACCACAAAATTCCGCGCAAACCGCACGGTGTAAAGACCATATTCAACAAAATCTGATCCCCAACTCTCACTTTGGCTTATTATATATTGTGTAAATGTCAGTTAAAGATATTAACAAATGAATACAGTCAAGTAGGAAATTAAAGAAGGAATAATTAACTAATTTAAGGAGGACTGATTGCAGCATATTCGAAAGACTAGTTACACTGCAAATAAAAAAAGACACCATTGTAATAATAGGAACATTAGGGGTGTGCTTGTCACCCATTATTTGGGAAGAATGTATTATGAAATAGTGATTGATATTGAAATATGTGGTTAAAAAGGAAAGAACAGTTTTTGACTTACGTGTAATATTATTTTAATGAAAAATGTGTGGTTGAAAATCAGTACTATAAAAAAAAATAATGGGAAAAAATTAGAGAAATGAATGACAAACAGGGGCTAGATCAAAGAGAAAATGTTTTCAACAATGACATATTTCATTATTTTGTCTTGATATTACTTTTTCTCTTTGACGATTGTCCCTTTTTTACATTACGGAGAAACACTTGGTCATAAAAAAAATTATTAACGCCAAAAAAATATATTGTTTTCACCATTAAAAAACAGAGAACAACGATAAAATATATGTCGTTAAAATGTATATAATAACGATATTCATATGTTTATATTTTTCATTAAAAATATGTGAACGACTAAATTTTCAATTTTGGTTGCTAAAATTACTTTTATTCATTATTAAAACACTAGATATGTACAAATTTAACAATCATTGGATCTCACCAAATTATAAGTAAATAAGTAAGTTCAAAAATAATTGGTGAGTTACCTAAAAATAATAACAATCATTTCAATTCCTGAGTGGATCATTTCAATAATCAGGCACAAAACAAAGAATTTGAAGTTGAAACACACAGCTTATTGATGTGATAAACGAACGCCTCATACTTCCTTACAACCCCAACATAAACACACAGCTTCTAACTACAAGTCTATACTACCGTCACGTGCTTGCACTGCCTATTGATGTGCATTGCCATGGCTGTGTTACATTATCTAGCAGAATCTCAATGTTTGCAAGCGTATCATTGAAATTTACGTGTCAATTCCTCAAAAAGAAAATAGAGCAGCCCATTGCGAAAAGCAATTAAAATTCAGATTTAGGCATAAGACATAGACAAGTATTTTTACCTTCCTTAGTTAACTCACTAAGAACCGCAAAACACCAGAAGCTGTCCACTATGACATCGCACTTCGTCGGATTTTTACGATCAGTGCTGCGTCGTGGGAGGTGGAATTGGGTTCGGACAAAGAGGGCGTATTTTCCTCGCGCTTATTTTCCAACAAATTTACAAGAATTTTCCTCACGCTTTTTTTCTTTGTCTTGCGGCCTGAATTGATTTGGGGATAAATGAAAGCAATGGGAAATAGGTCAGTGAAAGGGGGTTTAAATGGGCTGGGTGTGGTGAAATGATTTACAGCCTTCTTCGTCTTCTTTAATTCGGATATCACGTGGCCACCTCAGCAATTTGAAATTGCTGTCAAAACAGCTGTGAACGAAGACTGTACGTGTAGTGCCATTGTTGTTCATTTGTTCACCTAGAGGTTTGGCAGAAACTGGCAGAAACTCGTGCAAGGGAAATAATGGGGAAAATTCTCTCAAACCCTACTTATATAAATTTTAAAATTCAAAGGGAAGGTAGTATAATTTTTGGAGGTGTCTTCGACTGAAATTTTGATGAAATATATTCAAAATACAAAATTTAGGTTTACATATAATATTATTTTATTAAAAAATAAGTTGATAAAATAATATCAAAACACTATTTAATAATGCATTTTTTTTCAAAGAATAAAGCTCAAACAAGGGTTTGTAAATCTTAAAAAATCTCATCAATACACCATGATTTTTAGAGAGTTTCAAAAAGTTTCAATTGAATATCTCTAAACTTTTTAAATCACAGAAAATCATTAAAAGTTTCAATTGAATACACTCCTCTTAAGCTTCAAATCCTTTCACATTTTTAATATTTCTCTATTAATAAAATTTCTTATAAATTCACTAGTTATTAAATATACCTAAATTTTAAAAGATTTTATTGAATTTCATTAAAATCTCAATTGAAAACACCTAAATTTTAGAGTGTGTTTGATTGGAAGTATAGAATTTACATGTAAAAAAATAAATTTTTGACAATTGAATTGCCTAAAAATTATTTGCATGAAAATTGTCAATTAAATGTGTTTAATTGATTTTATTTTCAACCTAAAAAAAATTATACTTATCTTTTTTTATTGGTAAACAGATTGGAGAGAGAGGGGTAGATGAGAGAAAAAGAGAGAATGAATTATCTGAAAAATAAAAAACATATTCACTCTAAACAATATATTATTATTTTTTTCAAGAAAAATATGGTCATATAGCCAAAAGTAGTAATCAAACAAACTACACAAAAATAAGAATTTGATTAAAAGTTGACATTTTTATAATAAAAAAAAAAAAAAATTGCTAATCAAAAGTACTCTTAATGGATTTCATCAAAATTCATTAAAATCTCAATTGAGGACACCTCTTTAATTTCACAAATCACATTATAATAAAGAAGAATTAAATTAATTAATACAAGATTATTAAGAAATCGTTGTAATATTTGTCTAATATCTAATCACCATATTTCTAAAAATGATTACCATATCCATCCACTACTCATTTTTTAAATCGCGCATTTTCTGCAACCGTTGAATCACTCTAACTCAATTTGTTAAGGTGAGGATAAAGAAGAAATTGCCTTATTCTTGAGGTTTTGTATACTTCTTCCAACTTTTTGCAATTCTTAAATTTTAGATTATTCGAAATGGCTTCTAAGGGTTCATTGACTTGGCTAAAGGGCGCTACCTATAGAAAAACATTAAATAATTGGAGAATGAAGAAAAAAAAAGCACTAGCATCTTGTATACAGAGGCATCCTTCTTGACATTTTTTCAAGATCAAATTCATTTATCCAAGATAGCACATGTAATTTTTTTGGTGATACAACAACAAATTTTAATGCAGATCATATTTTTCTCTTCTTAGAATCATTGCCTTACCTTCAAATAGGGGTGTAAATTTGACTCACAAACTTGAGTGACCCATGATTCAACCCGGAAAAAGCCCAAGCTGACTCTACTCATAGCTTAGAAGAACCAAGTCGAGGCTATGGCCAAAGCCCCATTTTGGGACATCAACTTGAACCTAAGCCAGCCCGGGTGGCTCGACGATTTGTGTTACTTGACCCATAATGAAAATAAAATTTAAATAAAAATAAAAATAAAAATCATTGAAAAGATAGCTGCAACTGTTGCCTTGTTAAGGCTACACGCTTGCTACCTTAACAGGCAGCTATTTAAAGCGCCATAAAAATTCACAAAATACATGAAGAATATAGGATAATCTACTGAAATAATTTCATTAGTTGTGACTTTGATTTTTTTTTTAGTTAATAGACATTAATTTGTATAGTATGCAGCAGTTCAATTTTAGTAACGAAAGCAAAACATGTTCTCTTCATTCGTTCTACTCTTGTGTTTGTTTCCAAAAATTACGAGAAATGAGAAATGCAAAATAAATTCAAAAGCATACAAGATTTATTTATTCAACAGTAAGATTAGAAATTTGACCGTTTCCTCCTTTTCTCTGAAACATTTTTTATTCAGTTTCTTGGTCGATAATGTGTGTGTATGAATCTCTCTTATTTATTTATTTATTTTCAGGACGAGTAGATAATATTTGTGAGTTCAACAAAATGTGTGGATAAAAATAAAGTTTAACAAATTTATAATTTGTCAAACTCATGCTATGGCCATTTCAACGGACAATTTTGAACCAAGTGTACATATAGGGCCAAAAACGTGAGTTTGTTAATTGATTACAACATAAAAATTGTGAAACTCCATATTAAAAATCCTCGAAAAATTAATGCTAATTAAATCCAACAATATTCTTAATTAGAAGTAACAAAAAATAAGATTGCCAATAATCTAAGAGTAATACTAGAATAAAAAATTTCTACTGAAAAAAAATAAAAATAAAATAACACTCTGTTAATCACTAAAGGTTAGACCAATATACTAAAAAATGAAATCGACAGAGGAATGATAAAAAGGGTTGATAATATGGTAGCACATATACTATAACCTCCAGAGCTTGCTGCTATCGGACTTGGTGCTCCGACAGGGACGGAGTGGACTGTCGATGCTGGAGTCATGGCGGCTGGTATCGGAGCGGCAGCGGGATTTGAAGATGTTGGATTTGGAGCATTTACTGCTGGAGGATTAACTGCAGAATTTGGATGATCACCCCAATATATAAATACCAACACATGTATAATTAAATCTTATCATTGTAGAATTTTGGAAGAAATATAATAATCAATTAAAGATCTACTACATACACAAATTTTTATGAATAAGTGACAATTTGTATTGGGATAATTATATCATCTAAAATCTTACATAACTATATTTTATCAATTTCAATCTTTTATTCAACAAATAACTAAAAAGAATTGTACCATGCAGAACAATATATTTTTCTAAAGATAATTAGTCTATCTAGATCATGAACCGAACACTCGTTGGTTACACACCATTCAAGCTTCAAGAGAATTATGTTATTCGTACTTAAAAATGATACATAAAAGATTACATAAAATGATGTGGAAAGAAAAGATTAGATGAAAAAGTTGATTATCTTTTAAAATGGCAAATGATAGAGTGACATGTGATATTATGTAATTCATTATGTAAAGTTGGATGTACATATAACAAGGTCCTTCTAAGATTTGCTATTAATTAAATTTTTTTTTTTTCCGTAGTAACTCATAATTATATGCTACTAATAAATATAGTCACCCACCAGGAGATGTGCCGGGAGACGGAACAGGAGAAGTGGACACTGCAGAAAAAAAGACTATCAATAAAATAACAAAATTTAAAGCACATATTTTGCTGAAATTACTGGGTAGAATTTTATTAACAGTAGTATCCATTTATTCCGCTTCATATTGCCTATTGTTGATATTATGATCAAAGAGTAAATAATATGTCTAATAGACAATCATAAAGATTCAGAGAGAAACGCACTGATGCAATTAAGTGGAGGGGCTTTGATGCCACAAGCAGAAGGCAAAGCTCTAGCACTGGTCATATTAACTTCAATACCCAAACTGGCACTGTTCTTCAGTGCTACACATATGCAATCAGAATCAGTATCCAAAATTGTCTTGAATCCAGAGCAACAAGATTTGTCGGGCTTATCTTCACCACCATCAACGCTCAAATACGCTATGCAATCCGCCATATCATATATCAGACTCATGCAATCCACAGTAGGTGCGCCTATAGGGCGAGGACCCCCTACAGGAGATTGTATCGGCGAAGTGGTATGAAAATGACCACGACCCGAGACTACCACCGCCCATGTAGCCAAAATACAGGAGAATATCGATAAAATTTTCACCATTTTTTCTTTCTTAAAAATTGAAATTTTTTTTAGGAAACCTCACTACTGTGACTGTTTATATTGAATTGATCTGCAGTATTTTTTTATATATCCCTACAATCCCTAAAATATCTCAATATATTTGGATGTCATTAACAGTATTTTAAATTCGTAGGTTATTGACAAATGGTAGAGTTCTATTGCTAATGCACCTCTATAATATCTCAAGATTAGTTTGAAGTTGTTTATGAGGATGTGGCATAAATCGGAATGTAATTAACTGCATTTTAATCTACTAAGTTATTGACATGTGGAAGAGTTATTTTGCTAATGCACTTCTATTTAAAGGTTGTCTTGAAAATGTTATAGTTAGATTTTGACAAAGCTATAAATAGTTATTCTTTTAAAATGTAATATTAGATCTATGTAAATATTAAAGAATTAATAAATTGAGTATTTTCCAATTCTTAGAAGAAATGAAGGTATATGGTATAATTATTCAAACTAAAAAACTTCAAATTGGGCCACATGGGGCTATGAATCAGTACGTCTCTTCATGGGCAAGTGCCAGCTCTTTGCAGATTTTGAAATGTAGCCAGAATTTAATTTTATATTATCGCCGGGATTGATAGAAAAACGCCCCCATTTTGTGAAAATAAAAATGGGTGGAATAATATTTTTTCGAAAAATAAATTGTTAAAAAAGGAGGAAAAATTACGTTTAATATTATTTTATGTAAGATTGTGTGGTTGAAAATAAAAGAAAGAAAAATAATGAGAAGGGAAATGAGGGCCAAATTGGGGCTTAATCTAAAGTTTTGTTTGTCTATCATACTACCATATTCAACCACATTATTTTTTCTACGGTACTCATTTTTAACCACATATTTTTTCATTAAAATAATATTATACATAAATAAAAAAATTCTTTTTTTTAAGTGCACATTTCAACATCAATTATTATTCTATAATACATTATTCACAAATAATGAGACACAAACACCCCCTAAATTAAAGTCAATAACTAATTTTAACCACATATTTTATGGGACTCACAATTTTTTAATTACATATTTCATCAATAGATTTTTCTCGTGTTAGTCTTATATATGGATACTTTGAGTTTATAAACATCATTACAACAAAAGTAACTTTTTACGCTATTCGATTACGATGAGCAAATAAGACATGCCGTAAAAATAAATTAATTATGGCATGCCTTAAATGTGTGCCATAATAATTCTATTACTTAAAGTATTTATGACATACTTATTCTTCTCCCCGACCTCACACCCACCCCCACTCCAATCCCTTAACCCAAAACTAGAAATCTGTCATACCATCGCCATCGACCACCATTACCATCTCCTTCAACCACCACCATATAAAGAATAACTTCAAGCTTGTCCTCAACCACAAGTTTTCTCTTTCTTTTGCTTCTAGGTTTATATTACTACATTTGTATCTTCCTCTTAATCTCTCTCGATTGAGTGGAGGTTTTAGATTTGAACACAAACTCCCTCTGGACAGCATCAATTGCTGCTAGAGCATCAAAGACTTGGTCACGTTGCTATTAATCTGGTTTGCCTCAGATTTAAAATCAACTCCGTCGACTGGTTTTCAAATTGGTTAATCAAAGTCGACGACAACCCTTTGTCGTTTTAAGCCGCGATGAAGGACACATCCTAGTTAAAACTAGAGTTCGAAGATGGAACGGCCAACATCATTTGGTCGAGGAATCATCATGAGACGATGTCGGATCGAAGTGGGAAGACAACTGAGGTTGACAATTTTGATGATTATTCATTTTTTGGAGTGATTATTCTTGGTTTAATAAGGATTTGATGTTCACGGATTCCAATTCTCTACCACCAACCTAATCTATAGGTGTCTTGATTTGTAGAGAGAAGGTGGCGGTTGATTTTCGATTCGGTTTGGGTTGGGTAGGGAGGATTTTAATTACCTGATTTGGTTATGTTCATGGTGGTAGTGGTCAATGATGGTGGTGGCGGTGGCGGTGGTCGACAAAGATGGCGTCGATGGCGATGGTGGTCAATGGCGGTAGGCGTGACTAGGGATGTCAATGAGGCTCAGGCTCGACTCAAGTAAAATTAAGTTGGACTTTTTTTTGGCCGAGCTGAGTGAAAAAAAGCTCGACCAAAAAATGGAGGCTCAACCCGAGCTTTCGACTTGAGCTTTTTTATGCTCAATTCCTTTTTTTTAATAATACATAGGCAGCTCATATAGCTGCCTAGGCAGCTGCACGCTGCTTTTTTTCATACGATCCGGCCCACGAGCTATAAGGCCGACTCGGGCTCGACTCGATTCCCCCAATCCTCGAGCCGAGGCATGGGCAACCCAAGCCGAAGAGCCAAATTGACATCGCTAGGCGTGATGGTGGTAAATTTCTAGTTTTAGGTTGAGGGGATTGGGAGTTGATGAAGAAAATAGTTTTTCCATTTTAATTTTTTTCTTCTCTTTATTTTTTTGTTTCTGATTTAAGTTTTTAATTATTTTATGGGAAAAATGAAATTACTGTTTTTCCCTTTAAAATTGAATAAAATGTGGTCAAAATTAATTTTTTTGGGTTAACTAACGATAGATTGAATAGAAACCATCGATTGAAGCCTCAGCTATTACGATTTGAAAGTTTGGGGTGGCGATTGCAATGATTGAAAGGTTAGGAAAAAGTCTATCACAATTTAAAAGGTCTAGGGCTCTGCAATTATCCTTAATTCTTAAACATGATGTAAAAATTGATAGAAAAAATATTTGTAATTTTAACATACTATTTACAACATAGATGTCGTAAATACTCATAACATTTTATGACATGTGTTTGCACTTTGTAAAAAGTTCATTAAGGGCATGCTTTTCCTTTTTTTACGGCATACATTAAAGATGGTGAGCATTTACGACATGACTTTATACGACATACACATGTATGCCGAAAAGAACTTTTTACGACGTGCAATAAGTAAACTTTGTTGTAGTGCGTGTTATTTGGTTCCGTTTGATTGTAAAGATTGAATTGAATTGCCTAAAAAACGAATTTCAGAGAATTGAATTGCCTAAAAATTGTTTTCCTGAAAATTGTAAATTATTGTGTTTGATTGGTATAATTTTCACGTGAAAAATGTTGAAGTAAAAGTGTTTTTTGGTGTTCGTTTGACTTTGTTTTACATGAAAATTGTCAATTAAATGAATAAAATTTAGAAAAAATTGCAATCGAGGTACCAAACATTTCGTTTATTAGCAGACTTTGTCCAAACCTTTAAATTGTGCCACTCACGATACCAAACCTTTCAAAAACTCGCAGTAGAAGTCCAAATGGATGGAAACTGTTAATTTGATCGTTAGTTGACCAAAGATTTAACATTGACCATTATTTTGACTAATTTTAAAAGGATAAAATGGTAACTTTACATTTTTCAACAAAAAATAATAATTACAATATATTAATAATTAAATCAAAACACAAAAATACTATTCATCTTCTTTTCCATTCACCCCCTATCCACCCATCCACCATTCCACAAAACCAAATCCCACCAAAATCGACATTAATAATTGTGAAAATTTAATAATTGATTCCAAAGATCAATTGGTTCCGATCTGAGCAGGGATCAATTCTTGTCCAATTTCTTATGCTTCAAAAAAGTATAAATCTGTGTTTGAATTTTCTTAGTTCACTATCACACTTTATATTTAACTGATAAATTTCTCATTATATTTCATTGGTTTTATAATCGAAATTGCAAGCGTATACATTAAAAATAAAATAAACTCTCAAGAGTGTATCAACCGGTGGTCAAGAATCAAAATTTTCTATTCTGTTTTATTTTGAACAACTGAGTAGCAAAAGGGGGCTGATTTTAGACATATAATCAACAGAAATTGTGGAAGAATTTTTGGGTTTTGCTTTCGTACACAACCATCATTCTTGCGCACAATCAAGCTCTCACAGTTAGTGTTTTGGTGGGATTTGGTTTTGTGGAGGGAATGGGTGGGTGGATAGGGGTGAATGGAGAAGAAGATGAATAGTATTTTTGTGTTTTGATTTAATTATTAATATATTGTAATTATTATTTTTTGTTTGAAAAATGTAAAGTTACCATTTTATCCTTTTAAAATTAGTCAAAATAATGGTCAATGTTAAATCTTTGGTCAACTAACGGTCAAATTAACAGTTTCCATCCATTTGAACTTCCACCGCGAGTTTTTGAAAGGTTTGGTATCGTGGTGGGTGGTACAAACTAAAGGTTTAGGTAAAGTCTACTAATAAACGAAAGGTTTGGTACCTCGTCTGCAATTTTTTCTAAAATTTATTGGTATTGGAGATGAAATTTGTTCCCATTACAAAAAAAAAATTCAAAAAAAAATTTATTTTTTGGTGTTCATTTGACTTTGTTTTACATGAAAATTGTCAATTAAAGAAAAATATTTTTTTTACAATAATTCTTAGAATTTATTTACATTACCTCAAAAAAAAAAAAAATCGAAAAAAATGCTACAGTAACCGGGAATTCCAATTCTCACAATTTTGGTGAGAATTGCAATTCCTTGAATTCATGGATATTGACTTATGTGGCACCAAAGATGGAATTTCAATTCTAGGGGGAAAAAATGGCTACCAAATAAGGTTAAATTGGAAGGTGGAATTCCAATTCCATTTTCCATGGAATTCCACCTCCAATCAAACACTACCTTAGGGCCTGTTTGATTGACCCTTGTTTTCTCTAGAAAATAGAAATACAATTCATTTTCTCACAAAATGGCTTGTTTGATAGCCTTTTAATTCCATGGAATTGGAATTCCACCAACTGTCGCTAAATTAGCATTTTCCTTCTATTGATGACATTTCAATTCTCACCAAAATTGTGAGAATTTCAATTCCATCTTTTTTTTTTTTTTTTTTGACAATGGAAACAAATTCTAAGAATTATTGTAAAAAAAAATTCCTTTTAATTAACAATTTTCATGTAAAACAAAGTCAAACGAATATCAAAAGATAGATGATTTTTTTGATTTTTTTTTGTTTTGGCAATGGAAACAAATTTCATCCCTAATATCAG